GACGTTTGTGGATAACAGTCTTGTGTGTGACCGTTCAAATGCATATTTACGTGCTAAGTATTATCAGTGCACCGAAAATATCACGAAAAGGGTCCCTTGTACTCTCTAGTTCATGGTGAGTGGCTATTGGTATGACAACTATCTAGAGGGAAATCTAACTTCTGAATAAGGGTATTTGGTTTGTTTTAAACGACAGCCAAACTTTATGTTAGTTTGGGAGAACCTACATATGTAACGTCTTAACTTAACGAAGTCGGATCTAATTACTACATAAAACATACAACCAAATGATGTCCTTTGGAACGAACAACATGTTATCAACTTACAAACGCATTGCGGGAAGTACTTCGTTCTTTCCGAGTCCCAGGTATACCCAGACCTCCTGCTACGCACATCTAAAATAGAACACAAAATACATTTATATTATCAAGGCAAACTGTGGAAGAATACTGGATGTACTTTGATTTCTTGACTCAGACTGCCAAGTAAACAATATGCAGATCAAAGCTATTTTCGTTCTGCATGGGTTTTTTTTTTTTTCAAACGAGAATAACAGACTCGACCCTCTAAATAGTTCTCAAAGAAATTGTCGTGATTCTAGGCGCCATGCATATCGGGGAACGTAAACTCACCGGATTACAATATTTGTATCCGATTTTGAATTGAACAATTTCAATCGAACTTGGATTATTTGCTCCTGAGAACAGTGTTTAGATTGATGTCACTATTATACTGTGGAACAGTAACAGGAACTCTTCTGTGTCCCCACTTCTGTGCTTTTCAAGGAGAGTCCCTGCCACAATCTTGAGATCTTTAGAGTGAACGCTAACACAAGTAGCGTTATGATATTACATACTATTTGCGTATTTTCTTCATTAAAAAGTTTTCCTATTAATGAAGAGCATCTTAAAATTCTTCAAAATGCATTACCTGCCTTACAAATACGAAACATTTTGTCAGGTAACAGATAACATTTAACAGTATATACCATCTGAAATCTGAGAAGGTACTGAATGTATATTGTGTTGAATGTTTCTTACAATTTATTCAAACATGGTTTCGAGCACCTGTAGTACAGCCCAATTGGTAAATGTGAAATTCTGTGCTCAAGAGGTTTCGAAGTGAATTTGGTAACCAATGAATTTGGCTATTTATTACTCTTTAAAAAAGAAAAAAATTGAAGGAGCCCATCGGTCTGTAAAGCTACAGATATTTAAATGATAATTTTCTCTTAAATTTTCGTTTTCTATATTTCTGATTTTGTCTATTTAGGACCTTAGCGTTTTTAAGGTTTCAATGCACCTAAGCTGTCACTTATCTTACCGGCGAAGAACATATAGTAAATATCGTAATAGCAGACTATATAATGTACTTTCCAAAAGAAGACATGTAGTTTATTTTCTTGGTAGACTTGGAAACTAGGCTGATATTACACGCAAGAATGAACAGAACTAAACACGCCACAAATTTGCATGCATCTCAATCAAATATCATTAAATATTAAATAAGCAAAACTTTACTGAGTTGTGAGCTCGCTCGATTAAGCGTCATTGTCGAGGGTTTTGTAACAGAAAGTTATTTAATTTGAAACAGATCTAAAGGAGTAACTGCTCGATTGTTAGCGACAGTGTTAATAAGTTCATTTTTTGTGATTTAAAAACACGGAAAAGGTGTAAGTTCCCGTTCGTTTCCGTCCTTGAGGCTCCTTCGGTTCCATAACAATTACATGTGCATATTCTTCACAATTTCAAAAACTGAGAATTTAAAGGCAGAGTGTTTTTTTAAGTCTGTGAATAACCTTGGTCGGACCAACCGAAAGGGTCGATTGCTTGATGATAAACACGACGTCAATTAGGGCATCTGTCGATCTGTTACGTTGAACAGACAGTTTGTATTTGCATGCAATAACTCAACGACGTATTTACACAGGGCGTCTGTTGTAATCCCTTTTCTTCGAACAGTCTCGACAAAGAGATCGAAATTTGCCTCAACGCTGAGCTAGCCATGCCAATACATTACGATTCAATGCTTGAACCCGTGTCACATTGACAATCAACCTTTTTGTTGGCTTAAATATCGATAATCTTTTCGAATTAAAGATTGCTCGAGCGGCATTGAAATAGACCCAAGCACAACTCACCCAAACACCCATCCAAATGCCGTAACATCCATAGCCTGTCCAAAAGTATTCCACTGCACGGTCAGCGATGCCGAAGCAGATGAGTAAAGATCCCACAATGATGTGCACGATGGCAAGAATCCTCGCCATGTCGGCGACCTTGGCTGAATTTTCCGCCATGTTTGAAAACGTAAATCAATATCACAGTGGAGAGAAGACGTCATCCACTGTATGATATTTGCATAATAGATACAGACACAGGAAGGAGTCTGGGTTTTTGTCGAGGGTCGAGGGTCGAGGGTACCATGTCGAGGGTATTAAAACATGAAATAAGATAAATAAAAAATAAAATAATGGTTAACTCAAATATAAAATAATAAT